CGTTATACATTAACAGGGCACACAGGACACAAACAATAACAGTATTTCAAACAAACTGTTATGGAAGATAGTTTCAGTATTTTTAACAATAGAATTGTTTTGTTTTTAGAAAATATTGCTCTGATTCTATAGTTGATAAGGTGTGGACAATTTCTAAGTATTCACTTTACTAAATTATTAGTAGAACTCCTCGAATGAATAGATCCCAGTGAGTACTAGAGTAAGTTGTTATTTTACTCAAATGACGCTTATATATATAAAAAGTGCTGGATATAAAAATAAACATGATCAGAGGTCTTGTGAAATACAGGAGATTGGGTAATATGGGTTTCGTAGGTTACTCACTAGCCATTTACGTCAAAAAAACCTGATTCTCAGACTTTATTCTCGAGGCATATTACCAGTAAACGGTGTTGAGTCCCATACTTTGTGAGACGCATTGATTCCTCATCACTAAGTCACATCTTTCTCTTTGTTCTTTTTAATGTTGATTTCGCCCACTCTTTCTTTTTTTCTCCCACTTTGTTCTATAGTCTGAACTTAACAATTGTTTTACCCCGTTACTCAAGACATCAATCACAAATACATTTAAATATCCTTGAAAATGTATATACTCTATCTTCGTGACCCACCTTTAGTTCATTCAAATAAACATAAAAGTCATTTATTACCCATCACAGACTATAAATGTTTCAAATTAACTGTGTGGAGTAGTTCTTAGTGACAATTTAATAGTCTTCAACTGATTACTATTAACCATAAATTATTTACAATATTATGGTACACCGAACAAATCATACAGGACTTGTTAAATTACAAAATGTGATATAACAAGCAATGACCTCATTTATTTTTAGGGTTAAATAAATCCGTATCACTAGTCTTGTGTTCTCCTTACACATCGTTGGACTCGAGTTTCTGTACCAAGTAAAAGCCAGTTAAGCGTTTCCACGAATATGACAGAATGCACAAAGTTTGCATGGTAGATCAAGTATGTGGATGGTTGAGATACAACTAGTAAGTAGACTGTTTACTTGGTCAAGTTTACCACCCACATATCCACTGCTTCGTTTATTATTACTATCCATAAAGTTGTAAATATTGTTCACTCGGGAAATACTCAACCCGGTTTTCCTTTCTCTATCCATTTTGACCTAGTGAACTGTTCAGCACTCACTGATAACTGAAGCACTCTATCCAAACTTTCATAGGAAATGAATGAAACAGCTATTAACTAAGTTTGACATCCTGAAAGCATGGGTCGGGTGTTTCATTTTAGTATGCGGCTCCTTCGTATTATTCATCCAAGACTCGAGCTCGGGACCGGTCCCGCGTGTGTGGTTGTGAATGCTCACTGTCGAGCAGTCCCATATTAAGATGAAATGGGTACTCAGTGCTCCCAGGTTGTTAGACTTAAGTTGGCTCGTGATTTCAATAAAGTCCTAAACTTATTCAACATCATTTTCGACCTTCTATTCCTTAAGTGTCAAAACTGATTAGTTCAGTCAATAATAATCCATTCTAATTATTAATTTTACACTGATTCGTTTATTATACATCGATAACTTAAAACACTTAATAAAGTTGATAAACAAGTCCATTTATCTCTTAAAATATACTTATTATGACATAAATCATAAATAGTATGTTAGGTGTTTGTCAATAACTCTGATGTGTCAATCAAAATGGTTGATTAGGGACTGTATACAAGTTGGAAAAGTTGATAACCGATAGTTATACTGAACTGATCGTTCGTTATTGTACAGTAAAGTTTCACACACAACCTTGGAAACTGTATTCGTCATTATTGTAACTGTACAATTCATCAGCTACAATATAAACGTTTTTCTTGGTGACACTTAACTTTTCTGAAACTTGAATCCTAGATTCATAGGATATTGATATAACCTTCGTCCTGTAAAGATATGTAAGTTGAGGTTGATCAGTTTAAATTTAATTGACCAGTGCTTATTGTAGAATACGTAGTAAGGCTGCTTATTTCATCTGGTATCTCATAACTATATATTGTTTACGAAGAATATTCACTTCATAATTGTATTTTGAATGTGTTAACAATACTGAACTGTCCTAAATGTCATACGAATGTTATATTTATGTCCATAACTTACTGTCATCAAATCGTTATTTATTCTAGTATATTTCTAGATAACAGCTAATCATGGGATTCAGCGAACGTTTTTTCTCTCTTTTATGACTTATCATCCCAATATATTCACAACCCAATGTCAATATCCACGATGAAAATTGAACCCACTACTTATCTTCATTAAGCTACTGAGTTCAGATAGGCATCAACTAGTTTAGTTTGTACGGTATTTATTAGTAGTAGTAAGAAATTATGTTTACTCGTTATTGATACCTTTCTCAAGAGACTAATTAAAAACAATTGGACACAATTATTTTTAACCAGCCGGAGACCTTTGTGGTGCTGTAATCATAAAAACTTCTTTTACTAAAATAAACAAGTGTCTAAGTATTCTTTGAAGAAATTGACGTCGTTTATCCTGCATTTTACATATTCTTTGGCATCAAAGGGAACGTTTGGAATGAAATAAAAACCAAATATGTATCTTTAAAATTCTAACACAAAGTTGGATTCATGGAAATCTATGTTAATAATTTGATACAAGAGATATTAGGATAATCGCAGCTTGCCGAACCCGTTTTGAAGGTTAATTTGACTTTTAATTTAGCTAAGTGAATTCTCGCCGAGTTCTTAATCCCCACTGCAAAAACTGTTTACTGTAAAATCTAACTATTATTCTTTGTAAGAGCTTTAGTATGTTAAAACACCTAAAATGAAGTAGGATCGGCCTTTTTACAACCCCATTCACGACGTTTTATGTCTGCAAAGCAGAGGAACAAAATCAGGAAATGGATTTGTATTATGATTGATAACTTTGTTTTATCAGCAATCTGTTTATCAAATCTGTCAATTTCTTACACAAAAAAAACCCAGTGAGCAGTAGCTTTCTAGAATATGGTTACAAAACTACATCTACAGGAAAATATTCTTAATCCTACCGCGATGTTAGTGAGCTATGACACAAAGTTCTAGCTTCAAAGCGCAATGTAGTCCCTTTCGAATACCATACGGCCAATCGTACAGAACGTTGAACCCAGTAAACATGTGCATCAATTTATGACCCCCTATTATTTCATCACATAGAGATGATATTATCTAGAAAAACTCAGAAATGACGGAAGCATAAAGTGTCAGTGGTGATGGCAAACATTAGGCATAGACGATCTGGTCCAAGGACGAATTCGTGGGACAGAATAATTCTAAAACCCTAAGGAATACACAGATCGAATACATGTGAACCATCGCAACTAATCTCAAGCCATTTCACCTAGTCTCCAACCATTAATTCTGATAGTTGCAAGGACACCAACTGAACGATCTTTACCTAACAAAACGACTCAGTCCAACAGCAAATGACCTTAAGGACTGCCTTCTAGGTTCGATCCATCCACCCAGTTAATTGGACAAGTATTTCATGATATTAGGCAAGCTTTTTGTATTTCAATTAAAATAGGCTGTTTTGGATAGTAATAGTACCTTTGATAGAACAGTGAGAAATACGATGTGTTTGCATCATGGAGAAACGTTCGGTATTCGCAAATTCAAACCCCCTTCATGTGTACATAAAAAATTCTCATAATCATGACTGCACACTGGTAATTGTCAAGCCATTTTATGGTCTACAATGGTGTGACTGGCTTTTATTCCTACTATATTATGTTATTTTTCATCATTGTCACTTTTTAACTTTCATTTACTCAAATTTAATAGTACGTAAATGGTTTGACAAATATATACTGAATGGTTTAAATCATGAGTCAATTGAAGTTAAACCACCATGGAAAACCTGGAAGTACTGGATGGCCGTTTCGTCCTAGTGTGGGACTCCTCGGCAGTGCGCATCCACGACCCCGCCCCCTGCGAGGTTCGAACCCAGGATCCTTCAATCTCACGGACGAGCGCTTGACCCTTAGACCATTGAGCTGGCCGGCATCCAACGGTGTTAATGTCTAAATTCAATCAATTGACTCATGATTTTAACTATTGAAATTACTAAAACCTCCACAAAATCCCTTCTGATAATAGGCATCTGCTCACTAGTGAGACTTCAAGGGGAATTTTCCTGGGGTTCTAGTGAGAAGCAGTGACCAGTGGAGTTCAACCAAGTCTGTTGTGAGATATCAGCTTACTGAAGACAATGGTGTACGGGGGAGCAATTTCGTGGATTGGTTGAAGTTAGACATTGACACCGTTGGATGCCGGCCAGCTCGCGCGTGAGACTGATAAGTCTTGGGTTCGAATCTCGCAGGGGGTGGGGTCGTGGATGCGCTGAGTCCCACACTGGGACGAAACGGCCATCCAGTGCTTCCAGGTTTTTCATGATGGTCTAGCTTCAATTGACTCATGATTTCAACTACTGAAATTACTAAAGTCTCCACAAAACGCCTTATGAAAATATATATTGGTCAGATTGTTCGAAATGTATGGTGTAAATACATCATATCATTCTGATCAACTCCAGTTTTTTATTGCGCTCTATCAACATTTATAAAAAGGGACTAATTGTTTTAAAGAAATAATAAAGTTATTAATAAGTTGAAAAATGACAAATGAGTGATTTCTTCTCATTATTAATAAAAAACACCAACAAACAAACGGAGGATTCCAATGAAATAAGTAATAAACTAGGATTATTACAACTTGACTAACCAAATGATGCAAAATAACACAATACAACTAGAATGAAGACATGAAAATAAGAGAGGAAAGGATAGAATAAAAATAAATTCTTTTATACATTATAAAATAAATGAAAAGAAAATACTCCAAAGAAGTTTAGTTCTGAATAAGTGGTAGGTTTTGCATACATGATGTTTTCGTTGTTAAGACATGTAGGGCCTACTTGTTTTATTGCACCGAGTTATATATATATATATATATATATATATATATATATATATATATTGAGAGAGGAGGTAGGGAGGGGGCTAAATTTAGACTACAGATTGTAATAAAGGGTTTATTAATAATCAATTCTAATCGGTATCCTGATATCATCATCATCTTCATCTTCAAAATTGAAAGGTGTATAATTCACGGAGTCACCGGCTAACACTGAACGTCTTGGACTATTGTGAAATATTGCTTCTGGTGTATCAATCATATCACGACGTGGTACATTTTCAAATAATTCAGCACGATTTTGTTCTTCACCTTTCTTAACCCATTGACTATAAACATCATAGGCAAGTGTATCAATAATTTTACGCAATTTCTTATTTGAATATGGATCCATAGATAACTGATTGATATTTAAATAGGCAGCATCCACTTTTAAACGGCGTAGATAAAATATAAAACTGACAGCCAACATACCAGTCTATATAGTTGGTTAAAGGAAAAAGAGATAACAGTTTAGTGATCATTTATTATCCTGAATTGACTAATTAAGACAATTTGGAGATTGTAGTAATTACAAAAAAAAATTTCGGAGTATCAGATTCGAAAAAAATAAGGTTTGTTGAATGGCCCTCAAATGCCCTGGTACGGCCAAGGTTAGGGAGAGTCGATTCTCCCTCTCCAAATGCTCTCATATGGCCACACGTATACAGCCACTGAAAGTGAAGTCCTACTCACTGCCTTCTCGCGGCATTACTGTTATTTACGAAATCGAGAGGATGAAAAGTCAATGTCCGGCGCTTTAGCCGGGTTAGTGGACACGGAGAGTCCACCTAGAGGAGTTGGAAAACCCTGATTCCAGACTAATGGTACACATGGGTTCCAAGATCCTGAAGGAACAACAGGCGTATGAACCTATTGTTGGTCACTGGCTACCATGAGACTGCACCTCCTGACATTGCTTCACTGCCTTGTGGATTAGACCTTCAGGTCGAAAGCTCCGGGTGTGGCTTCCTAAGAAAACCACCTGCTTTGGTCTGGGAACCCGGACAGGATCACAGTCCTTACACAAATCAATAATAACTGCTACTGGCCTCATTGTTATTGTGTGGCGCATATGTATTTGGTGCTCCCTTGTACCAAACATTTTTATGTGTTCAAATAAATAAATTGTTGAGTGCAATGAATCTATATGTATTTTTCATTGCATTCTCCTCAGTCACATATAGATAATTTTGACTGATACGGAATTTTAGTAAATACTAAAATAAAAAGGACGCCAAGGGATAAATTACTCGCTGAAGATTAATAAATGGTCTCGAAAACAAAATCGTCATGACTATTTACATATTTAAATCAAAACAGTGCTGAATGGCTTAGTTGCATACTCTATATAATCAGAAACTTAATACATTATCGGAAAATAAACCCAATTTGATTAAACGCTGAGGTTTCACTAGCCCTTGTAGGCTAGTTAGCTTAAATCGCAGTAGTTTGGTGAGTAAAACACTAAACTTTGAATCGGTTGTCCTAAGGTTTGAACTCCATTTCACTCCACTCTACATACTTAAGTTTCGATAACTAGATAGTATTACTAGCCCTCGAAGCCTCAAGCAAGACCTAAACTCGAATACGTGCAAATCCAATTGGAAATTAGTAATATTAATGTTACTACACAAACCTACGCCACCTGTAGTATAGATTGTTTCTCAGTTCATTGGAAAATGAATATACTAGATAGCAGATTTTTCCTCTGTAAGTTTACTGCTGTGAAAAGTCAGTGTATTTTGAAAATATTTGACTAAAGGAATCGTCGAAGCATCTCCTTGAGGATGACAAAACCACCAAACAAACTTTGTTAAGTTCAAAAGTAGTTTTAAGCAAAAATGGTAAATCGACTGATAAGACTAAAGATCTTCCTTAACTGAGACGACTGGAACACGTTAGATATATCCTAATCACCATCTACAGTACAATCAAAGCCTGGCTAATATATGAGTGAACTGGAAAAAGAACCGGGAGTGGCCAGACTTAAATACAAAACCAATCTATGAAGTCATTAAGCGAGGTGTATCAGGGACGTGAACTTTTCCTGACTGAAGTCTGACATACAATCGTAATTTGTTTCCATAAGGCAAAATAGGATAATAAACACTTATTCTCAAATCTCACCTTAAATTTCTGTCTAGCATTGAAGGCTGTCTTTCCAACTATAGGCTGAAACAAATATAAAATAAATGGGGAAATTACTAGTATATGCTTCGGATGCAATTTTCTTAAGTAAATATGCATGCAATTAAAATATAGAAACAGTTGCCTAACATATTTTTGAAGGGACTTTCTTCATTATTAATCGCTTATTTACAAGGTACAAGCTCGTATATTTGGCCTTGAGCTACACTCCAGGTGTGAGAGTTAGTGATAAAACTCGGTTGTGTAAACTGAACTAGGTGGAACGCAGTTTTAGTCTGTGAACACTCTGATCACTAAGCCACCAGCTGCATTAAAAAGTTTCACAAAGATAAACAAGGAAAAAGCAAAAAAACAGTAGATATGAATTGTATCTGTAAATATCGAAACGAGTTTAAGTATGAAATAATCTTAATGATCACCTTTAAAGTTTGATCGAAAATTTTAGTTTAGAAATTGGTTAATTTTGGGGTGATTTCTACATATACATATATATATTAGACTTTTAAGCTGATCATTAGAATGACTTACAAATGACGAATATTAGTTGAAATGCTTTTTAGTTTGGGAGTGCATCTACTTGTAAGTTGAAAATGAGCATGAAACTACTATTCAACACTTATAAGGTTTTATATAAGTGCTTTGACTAACGACAATTTTAGTGACAACCATTGAGAAAAGATCCAACTTTGTTGCAAAATATAAAAAGCATAAGAATGAGTCTTAATATTTTAAAATGAGTATTGAATAGAATAACCGCCAAATTCTTACTTTCACTAACGCAAGGTTTGTAGCGGATAAATGTCCCATACATATTTCAATCACTTCTGTCGATAAGGGTTTACGGTTTTACTAACAGACTTATGTTTGATCTCAGCGTTACTACTTAAGTGATCCAACTGCATGCAAACAGTATATGGGAGGAACTTAAGACTAAATGTTGACAGCCCATACATATCATTCTAAAGGAATTAACAATCATAAAATCAGTGTTAACAAATTTCTGTTCATGAAATAATTACGTAGCAAATTATTAATGTTAAATATTCGAGGGATAAATATACTAAAAATTTAAAAACCAAAATGCTGAATGAACATACTTGTTGTAGGAAGAATGCATGATTCAATGAATCTAAAGCTGTCAACCTTACGCTGGAATCCACAACTAGAATTTTACATATCTATTTGTAAAAACAATAAATACGGAAAAATATATAAAAATGAAAGTAAGTAATGTTAATCGAAAATGTCAACAGTAAATATTATGTATAGTGTTAAGTATACGTATAAAGAGGATAGTGGAATGTTCTTTATTACGTATATATACTTCTAATATTTAAGATTTCTTTAACAAAAAATAATAGCTCAGACACTCAATTATTAGGTTAGATGTTTGAATTTATGCTCAGCCTAGTGAGATCAAGGTTGTAACATTTAATCATAAACAATGAAGAATTTGACCCAAACGTTTATCGGTTCAACACTTTACACAACATAAAGGTAGTGGGATTAAACTAACGGAATGAACAGGAAAGATGAAATAACAGAAGTGTTAATAGTAATAAGGAAAGAACAAGATTACGGTTTATCAATAAAAAAATAAATATGAATTGATATTGAAACTCGAGAGATAAAGAATCAATGAGTTTGTGCAATTGTAACTGATTTCAAGACATTTGACCCAATGTCTTCAACCACTGATCAAGACTATCGAGTAGACCCCAGACAATCAGTCTGCACTTACCAATACACCTAAGGTCAACAGGCAATGACCTCTTGGACTGGTGCCACATTTTCATTTGGCCGCCCGTAGCTTTCTCACAACATTATACTGCAGTCAGAACTGTATTGAGGAACGAGGCAGATAGATACGCGTGTAACGGTACGTGCATTATTTAGAGTTTTAAGCAGTAGCTCCATTTATTTCTTTCTTGGTTTACTATTTGAATTGAGTTCGTGATGAAAATGACTCTCAAATTATAAGAAATCATCAAGAAACTACTTGATTTATTGTTCAAGTTAATAAACAACGCGCTTGCTCAAGATACAGCAGATAAAACGAGACTTGGACATGCAGTTTATTGCTTAAAAACTCAGTATTTTCTGACTATGTGCATCTATTAAAAGACAATGTTCGAATCCAACGAAATATTCTAAATAGTGGGAAAAGAATGTCACTTTTGTGTAAAATATATAGGATTTTAATGTAGTTTTTTCTAATAAGGCTACAAATTGGAGGTAATATATATTTGTACTTACAAGAATGAGCTAAAGCAAACTTAACTCACGTAAAAAAACTGATGAAAATGTACTAAGCACAATACTAAATTGCATTTCAATAACTTGCACTCCACTAACCAGGCCATTTACGATATCTTCAGTGAATATGACGTTTGTACATAACAAATAAAGGAAGCAGATATTTATAGAGTAACTCACTAGATCCTTTGCAGATTCACTGATATCATCCCATTCTGGACTAGGAAAAGAGAAACGGCCTTCCATAATCTGGCGCAGCATCAAATGTTCTTTACGATTCCAAAAAGGGGGACAACCTGCTAACAGAGTATACATAATCACACCACATGCCCAAATGTCTACAGGTTGACCATAAGGAGGTTGATCTTCATAGTAACCACACATCAGGACCTCTGGCGCCAAGTAACCTGGTGTTCCACGAGTTTCTAGCAGGTAAAAATTTATTTAAAATTAAACGGTGACGCCGTATTGCCAACGAGAAGCACTTAGGACTTCGTAACCATACAGCCATAAAATCCAGATACACATACGATTTTGACAGTGCATTCGAATTTTATTGAGTTAGACCGAGAATTAGGCAAGTTAACGAGAAAGATCTACTGTTCGGAAAATTATTTAGGAAACGTATAAGCAAATTAAAATGAAGAGAGAACAAGGTGGAAAATGTTGCTTGTTATTTGACCTAGCTAACTGATAGATGTATATCTGCAAACATTTTCTGTGGTTCAAGTCTGTAAAACCGAATACTAAAAAGAGAGACCTAAGTGAAAGAATTAATTGGTATTGGAAACTGCTTAATTAGTGATATATGTACGTTCAATGAGTTTTCAATCAGGAGCCTCAAATGTTGGGAATAAGAATGATGTAAACACTTAGGCTGTAAAGATATCTACCAATGAGTGAACAAGTGGATGAGCTTTGTAGCACTCGAAGCGTAACTCAAATTTACAGTACTTATAATCAAATTGTTGGTTATAGAACAACGATTCATTTCTTTAAAAATAATTTAGATAGTTTTGTGTAGATTTCAAATAAACTGATTTCTTCAGGTACCGACGTTAGCTACAGGACCGTCGAAAACCAGAATGAAAAGCAGTTGTCTCGTAGTAATTTGAGTCTCTTTCATTGCCTGTTTTAACGGCCTTATATGGGACCAAACTTATGACTTTCCGGTCACAATGCTATTCATCTATGAAGCGTGAAACCGAAACTCCGCGTTCAGCCAATAAGGTATAGAAACCTGGTGGGTGGATATGTATCATGTTTTACGTTACGCATGACTGACCGCCCGGTTTAAACCGAGCCCAAGACGTTACCGCTGAGTTATTCAGATGATACTGTAATTTGAAAAGATAAATCGGCCAGCTTCAAGGAATTGATAAGAATTATGTCGAGTTTAGGTTAGTAAAGACATCACTCAGACTTGGTGCTGAGTTTGAACCGTACAAAAGAAATTAGTTTGCTTGGAGCTTTAAGTTAGCATTCTAACGAGTCCCAGCTAGTTTTAAACTAAGTCGAGAAATTCTCGGTATCCCAAATGATCTAACAAATGTCTACCTTGAATGCTGTGGGATTGAGAGTATTTGAGCATATGCTCGATCGAAATCCAAGAGGGAGATAAGATGGTTTTCTGGAGTCATCTCTTGTATAGAATGATAGAGAACGGCAAAACGACTTGCCTCGATAAGATTGTATCGTCAGTCAGTCAAATCCAAAGTAGAACCTCACATATATGTACATTGGCTCAAACTGTACCGAAGCACTGCTAAAACGACAAATAACTGCACTTAACAAACAAATATACTACACGTCAATTGTGGACAAACATAAAAACCTTGAGTAAACTAACATGAATTTATTCTTCTAGTTAAGGTTTAACACTATGAGACTGCCTAAACTTAAGTAGGTAAGGCGTAGTCTTGAAATGAACCTATGAAGGCTGGTTGTTTAACGCAATGGAATAAGGATCAACTACAGTAGACTGAACTAGCTATTTTGAGAGTATGAGGTACTTTTATCCAGATTACATGACGGTTAGCAGAAAGTAGTAAGATTTGCAAACTAGCTTTGTTGAATATATATATATATATATATATATATATATATATATATATATAATGTCCCTGAAGTGTACACGAATATAATCATTAAGGCCAGATGTTAACAACTCGAAAAAAATTTTGTAGTCTTGACTTAATAGCAACTTTCAACGAGGTAAAAAGTACCTTTAAGCTCTTCTTCATCGTCAACAAATACAGCCAACCCGAAGTCCGTAACTTTTATGTTAAGATTTTCATCAAGAAGAATGTTTTCCGGCTTGAGATCTCGATGGACGATTTGACGGTCATGGATAAAATTAACAGCATCAAACAGCTGCCGCATGATTGCACGAGTACGTTTTTCGGAAATAATGACGTTGTGGGTAAGATAGTCGAAAAGTTCACCACCTTGACAACTAAAGACATGAAAGTGAAAGCTGAAACTTACATTTCTGAGACCAGAAATATGTATGCATCCCCCTCGAAAACATCATGAATTCTTATGATATTGGGGTGGTCGACTACTTTTCTAAGAATTGTCACCTCTCGCATACATTCTGAACGTATAACTTCTGAGGTGTCGACACCACTATTAAGATCCAAAATTTTAACAGCGAATTCGGCTTTAGAGTCTTTTTCTATGCAACGTCGCACAGTACTACTGGCTCCAGAACCCAAGACACCCCGAACTTCATATTTCAAATAAAAGGAATCCGCTAAACGGAGATCAGCAACGACACCATCCCTCTCCAAGCAGGTTATTGTCATGTCACTTCCTCTGGCCCGAAGTACGACCGAACCGCGGCAAACGAAAGACCGCCAACGAATACGGCTTCATAAAATTCGAAAGAATATTTTACTAAGGGAAAATTACATAACATCATTACATTTTCAAAGTATTGATGGAGTCTTGTCAAAAATATTCAGAATGTTTTGATGAGTAGTGTTAAAGTTGACAAAGTTTTTGATTATTTCGTCCTTGAAGCTATGAATGAGGCGCAGAATTTGAGGGAGAATTTGACGTTCTCCGAAAAACATCTGCCTCTTCCAATTTGAAGTCATGTGTTGATCATTTCTATATAGCATTCTTCAACGGACAAAAAACCACCTCTTACAGATTATGTTGTATAAAAAATTTACGACTCGAATATAATATTCTTCACCTTCAGCTCCCACTTAGAAATTACAGCGTTGGTCGTTATCCGAATATTCATTATTAATAATAGACAGCCCTCCAAGATCAGTGTCAAGATACCAAAGATATTCAGAGTTTGACAACGCTTTTATGCATAATACCTAAATAATTGAGGGATACTGACCCAGTAAAATCACAAGTCAGTAATGAAAAAGTGGGAAGAAGTATTCAGACAGTTATCGATATGCCAAGGAACGTTTGATCTCAGCTGGATAGTAGCTGCGAGGCATGCATAACTCGACGTACCCACTTGTGATGTGTTGCGGACACGTGACCGAGCGCTGTCAGCTAGGTTGAGTCCAATGAGACTTATGAGGTCAGCATCAATGCTGAACACTTACAGAACTATTTATCTTGGAATTTATTTGCCGCTCTAAGTGACGATATAAGTGCTTGATGCTGGTGCCGAACACATCAGTCCCGATAGTCATCGGTAGCTGCATGTATGTAGTATTAGTTCTAACAACACAATCCTCAAAGCCAAACATAAGATAACTGGGAAAATGCATGTTCAACGATTAGCCCGAAGGGTAGGTCAATAATCGAGAAGGAGGTAAGAATTCACTCAAGATTCAACTGGATGGCATGGCTCAGCCCCGCAGACGTGGTCATTCTGCATAACTTGTCTTCCAATAAATATATTGCTCTATCTCTGGCCTGAAGGTGTTCTTTAGAAACCTCAGACATGTTGGTAATTGTTACGATACGATTAGTCAGTTCAGAAAAAGATGTGACGTCCATGTGAGATTTTATAGATCAGGCAGTCACATCATGAAAAATCTACAATTTTAGGATTAGATCCATTATTAGAGCAGTGCTAATTGTAAGATCCATTTTGAAGGTTTTATGTGTTGGTGAAAATCCCTCCATGTATATACTTGTACTTTATTCCTATTGATCGCATTAGTTGTACATTGTTGTATTTTGATTACATTTGAATTGTTAATATTTGTATTTTTGTTATAGTTTTTGTTTTTATTACGCATTCACTAAGTTTGTGTTTCTTCCTGAACTGCATCTGCGTTGTTTTACTTGACACTTGTTCTTGGCGGTAGCCATATTGATTTGTTCCTCCTGTTGTGTGTGATCTATCCAGCCAGGATAGAATAACGGTGATTTGTTGTGATTGATTTAATTGATTGAACAATCATTGGTTGAATAGCCGGGTGATAATATTTGTTTAGAACCGCTAGTTACCCGATTACTTGTTCTGATTTCGACGGGAAAGGGCGCGTGTCTAAAACCCCCTGTCGGCTATTCTTCAACATCCAAACCGTAGTTTGGATCCTACAGTTCTAAACAAGTATTACTTGGTCGAAATCCTTTGGTAATCGTTCACGGATTTTCTGGAAATAATTGGTCGTGTCGCTTATAATGCCAGTTAATCGTCGAAGGAGATCAGGCTCAAAGTTCGTCCATGTTAACGAAGAATCCCCTATTGTCAAGCAAGTGCCTTTTGACGTCCTTAAGGGTCATGGTTCAGACTTAAATAGGGTTAATTATCATGGCAGTGATTCTAACCTTAATTCGATGTCAGTTGATGTAAAAAATCTTAGTTTAAGGGAGGAGCAAAGGCCTGAATTACTAGGAAAGAGCATGTCGCCTATAGTCCATGTTGTTGGCCCAGAGCTACCAAAGGTTGAACTGAGTTATTTCGATGGAGAGCCAAGAGGTTATTGGAAATTTATAAGGCAATTTGAGACGTCACGGATGATAGCCAGCGCTTACTCTATTTGATACACTACTGCAAGGGCAAGGCTAAAACAGCTATTGAAGGTTGCGTCATGATGGAGGCATCCTCTGGCTATAAAAGAGCAAGGGAGATTTTAAAACGTTTTTTCGGACAGCCTCACGTAATTGCTCGAGAAACACTAGAGGACTTATTCAGTGCTGTGAATTTTGAGTATATTGACGGGGACCAACTATCAAATTTGGCTATTAAGATGGAAAACTGTGCCATGGTCTTGGAACAAATGAATTATACTTCTGATCTAAATTCCTTAGTTACCTTGGAAAGAATAGTGAGACTCTTGCCTCAACCTATGCAAGTCCAGTGGGCGGACTGGGTGGATAAATTGACTGAAGATAACAGAGAACCGACCTTCGACGAGCTCACTCAGTTTATCACATCGCGTGCGAGAGTGGCTTGTAGTAGATTTGGACGGTTAGCAAACCGTTCTAGAAAAGGACATAACGTAAAGACGAACTGTCACGTGCAATCAGAGCAAGGGAATAGTTCGACAATGAAAACTAAATGTAGTATGTGTTCCTACGACCATGCCATTGATAAATGTCCACAGTTCTTAGCGCTTACAGTGCAAGACCGATGGTCTCACGCTAAAGGCAAGGGTATCTGTTTCGTCTGTCTTAGACAAGGACATAAGGTTAATGAATGTAAGATGACAAGGCTCTGTAAGGTTGACAGTTGCGAGAGGAGACATCACGCTCTGCTGCACACTGACTCGACAAGCAACGTCGTAAATGATAAGCCATCATGCCCGGAATATAGGAAAAGAGTTGTTAATCATACCAGTAAGATACAGACTTTAGAGAACGAAATACGTAAGCCTTATGACGTAGAGTTTTCAGATGCTTATTCAAGTGATAAATCATTATCAGTAGACGACAAGGTGGCTATAAAGATTGTGGAAGGTGGCATGCGCTTCGGCAACGGTCATTTTGTAGTTTCTATACCTTGGAAAAAGAATCCAGATATGAAAGTGGATAACTATGAAGTAGCAAACCGTAGATTACAAGGTTTGAAGGGTATGTTGTCGAAGGATGTCAGTCTGCACATCAAGTATATCAAAAGTACTGAAAGTGATTTTACTAAGACTTATGCGGAGAGGGTCTTTGAAATATATCTACAGTCTTATTATCGCCCTCGATGGTATTTACCTCATCATGCAGTATTAAACATGAAAAAACCAGAAGAACTTAGAGTGGTCCTTGATTGTGCCGCCCAGTTTGCAGGGGGTTCCCCAAATGATATGATTTATCAAGATCCCGATACCACCGCTGAGTTAATGTGTATATTATTAAGTTTTCGCAAGAAGGCAGTTGCAATCCCTGCAGATGTTGAAGAAATGTTCATGCAAGTGAATGTCCCTGAGTCTGATCGAGGAGCTTCAAGATTTCTGTGGTGGCAGGAGGGGGACATATCGAGAGAACCGTCTAAGTTTCAAATGACATCCCATCCATTTGATGCCACATCCTCGCCATTTTGCGCGAACCTTGCCCTGAATAAGACGGCCCAAATATTCTCTAACGGTTATGATGGTTATGTTGTAGATGATGTCAAGAATAATTTCTATGTTGATGATTGCTTGATATCCATTCCCACTTGTGATCAAGCAAAGAGTTTCGTTAAGCATATAAGTGAATTATTATGTAGAGGAAGTATACAAAAAATGACCGATCTTGAATCTTGGTTCAAATGTCCTATTTTATTGCATGGCGAATTTTATATAACAATCACTGACTGTACGGAACCTACTCTTGACGATATTGAGTTTAGAAAAACTGCTGTGGTTAACTTGAGTAGTATAAAGTACAACAAGACACCTGTTCTCTCTTATTATTCCGAGTGGTTGAAATTAGTCAGAGCTGTAACCTGGTTTAGAAGGTGTAAGATCCATTTTGAATGCCTTGTGTGTTTGTGAAAATCCCTCCATGTATATACTTGTACTTTATTCCTATTGATCGCATTAGTTGTACATTGTTGTATTTTGATAACATTTGAATTGTTAATATTTGTATTTTTGTTATAGTTTTTGTTTTTATTACGCATTCACTAAGTTTGTGTTTCTTCCTGAACTGCATCTGCGTTGTTTTACTTGACACTTGTTCTTGGCGGTAGCCATATTGATTTGTTCCTCCTGTTGTGTGTGATCTATCCAGCCAGGATAGAATAACGTTGATTTGTTGTGATTGGTAATTTTTCCTCATCTTCTATCAACTTCTTTATTTATTGTAATTTAGATTTAATTGATTGAACAATCATTGGTTGAATAGCCGGGTGGTAATATTTGTTTAGGTAATGATTTACATTAAATTTATTATGAATTATAGAACCGCTAGTTACCCGATTACTTGTTCTGATTTCGACGGGAAAGGGCGCGTGTCTAAAACCCCCTATCGGCTATTCTTCAACATCCAAAGCGTAGTTTGGATCCTATAGTTCTAAACAAATATTACTTGGCCGAAATTCTCTGGTAATCGTTCACGGATTTTCTGGAAATAATTGGTCGTTTCGTTTATAATGCTAGTTAATCGTCGAAGGAGATCAGGCTCAAAGTTCGTCGATGTTAACGAAGAATCCCCTATTGTCAAGCAAGTGCCTTTTGACGTCCTTAAGGGTCATGGTTCAGACTTAAATAGGGTTAATTATCAGGGCAGTGATTCTAGTCTTAATTTGATGTCAGATGATGTAAAAAATCTTAGTTTAAAGGAGGAGCAAAGGCCTGAATTACTAGGAAAGAGCATGTCGCCTATAGTCCACGTTGTTGGCCCAGAGCTACCAAAGGTTGAACTGAGTTATTTCGATGGAGAGCCAAGAGGTTATTGGAAATTTATAAGGCAATTTGAGACGTATGTAGCGTCAAGAGTCACGGATGATAGCCAGCGCTTACTCTAT